ATAATTTTGTACCTAGATTGTCATAATATGTTGCAATAATTTGGGTTTCTGTTTAATTTCAACTCAGCGATACCTAGATTCCAAAAAAAAAAAAAAAAAAATCAAGCTTGTCATTGAATTGAAAATGACTTTTAACAAGTTATTTGTACTCTAAGTGTTTAATTCCCTTTTCAGCCATGAAACCATATTTTCTTCAATTACCCTAGGTAAGAAAATGTGGAATTTTTTTTCTTCAAAATGGAGAATTATCAGAGTGAATAAACGTTCATTCTAAACTGCATTTTACAAAAGAATAAGATGTTTGAATAAATACCTGTTTTTATGGTGAATTAGGTACATTCAGGATGTTACAAATTAAAAATATAATCACAGATAAACTGATCGACTAGAAAGATGTAGTTCGCCGTCAATTTAATGCAAGAATAAACAATCTATTTCCCACATACAACTGGAATAATTTCACATAATGCTGTCGAAGTGAAGATGATGAAGGATTTTTAATAATAAATATAAATCAATAAAACGTATATATACATCTTTCTCATTTAATGTAGAGTGTTTGTTCTTTAAAAATTAATACTTTATTATTGCATTACTTAATTTTGTACAAATTACCATCCAGAAAATACATTAAACACTTCAAACATGAGGAAGTATTTCTGGGGATACATCTGTCAATTAATTTCCTTTTTTAAAAAATGATATCAACAAATATGTAGTATCCTAACATGATAGGTAAACAGGAATAAACTACATGTTAATCATATGTCTCTTTTCCGAATGATGTACATTTAAAAAAAAAAAGAAGCAATATCCTTATCACATCTAGATCGCCGTGATGACGTCATAAACATGTCTTGTCCTGGATCTCCTTCTGGAAGTTAAGTATCGTGGAATACCAGAACACCTTAAGAAGAATCAAATTACATAAAGTAAATTATATGAAAATTCAATGTAGTTGCTTTTTAAGAGCAAATAATCCTTAATTTAAATTTATCGTGGGAAAAAGTTGTATGAAGTGTTGAAGAGGTGTACAATTCTATATGCTATATATTTGATTTTAACTTCCCGAAAATGTGTTCCTTGAAGTTTTTAAGCATCAATTAGTTCTAATTTACACATCTTCTCAAATATGTTTTTGTAGAGTAGTTTTTAGCTCACCTGAGACGAAGGATCAAGTGAGCTTTTCTGACCACATTTTGTCCGTCGTCCGTCTGTCCGTCCGTCTGCCTGTAAACTTTTCACATTTTCGACTTTTTTTTTTACACTGAAATATGTACATGTAGGAAAAATCTTTTAAAATGTTCTTCTCAAAAACCATTGGGCCAGAAAAGCTGAAACTTTTATGGAAGCATCCTGGGATAGTGTAATCTCTAAATTGTTTAAATCATGACCCCCGGGGATAGGGCTGGCCGCAATAGGAAATCCAAGTTTTACATTGAAATATATAGGAAAAATCTTCTTCTCAAGAACCACTGGGCCAGAAAAGCTGAAACTTAAATGGAAGCATCCTGGGAAGTGTAAATTCTAAATTGTACAAACCATGATCCCCGGGGTAGAGCTGGGCCACTTAAGGAATCCAAGTTTTATATTGAAATATATAGGAAAAATCTTTAAATATCTTCTTCTCCTCAAAAACCTTGGGCCAAAAAGCTGAAACTTATAAGGAAGAATCATGGGGTAGAGTGATTCTAAGTTGTCAAAATCAAGACCTCTTGGGGTAGGGCGGGGTTTCAATAGGTATTAAAGGGGGGGGGCATCTGGTAAAGAACAGCAATGGTCAAATTTTCACAGGTGAGCGATGTGGCCCATGGACCTCTTGTTCATTCACTAGTGCTGTTTAGTATTTTAGGTTTGTCAGATGAGATTGAATTTGCTTAAAAGAATTATTCAAAAATTTCTAAAAGCTCCTTGTAGTTTATAAGTATCCACATCTTATTTACACCACCTATCAAATAAATAATGTTCGGTATTCAAGAACTTCTCCCCCACTAACGTTAAAGCTATATATGCCGTATTAGTGTTTTATTTTAAAAGTAATAAATATATGTGGTGTCTCATCAAGTTATATAAGTTATATACTTTCTGCAAATAAGACAATTCTCTCCATCACTTTTAAAAGTTATGAAATATTATTTGGTAAAAATTATTTTCTCTCCGTGTCGGATAAAAAACCGCCTCTTATTGAAATATTCATGATCACGTTGTCTCGCATGTTTACAGCAAACAATGGCCCAATCTCGTGAATGAACCGAAAAGCATGATGGTCTACTACGTTTTTACTACAAACACGTGAGTTAGGGATTGTCAATATTGAGAGCACCTCAGAGTGTATTCGATTAAGACAACTCGTGTCGCACTAGTGTTAAATACGCGCATGCTCACTGATTGAACTCTAGTGATCTAAATAAAACATCTCGTGTTGTATAGTGTTTATCTAAATATAGCGGGAAAATAGTATATATTCCCTTTATATCTGGTTTGAATATGACAAACAATTGATCAATAAACAATTTGTAATTATCAAATAAAGAATAACTGATAAATTCTAACAAAACCTCAAAGCTGAGAAATTAATTGTTCAACATTACAAAATGTATTTTCTACAGATACAACATGTATATTATAGATCATTTATCCTTGCAATATTATTTCACAAGTCCATACCCCCTTATTTAAATAAAAAAAAGGTAGAATAAGAACGTCTTCAAAAATATACAATGTAATAGTATTAATTATGATAGTGACGTATCATCTTTTTTAAAAAAAAGGGGGGGGCAAGCCACAAAAAAACTTGACAAAAAAGACATTACACATACTCGAAAATCCTATTTAGTTGGAGGAGGGGGATGTAGGTCACATTTTCTTCTGCACTAAATTGTATTCATAAGATACGACCTAACCCTTGCCCCTTGCTTGGCTTTACTGTAACAAAAAGGAGGAGGAAGCTATCGGTGGTCTTTCAATGAAGATTTTTTAAAAGTAAAGAGTTATGTTTGGAAAATAGTGTAGGGTAACGCTTCGACCAGTTGCTACGTGCCTGTATACCCCCCCCCGTAACATTTTGCATGGGATATAAAAAAAAATGGTCAGAAAAGTACCATAGCTGACGTTTTTCATTAATTAAGTGTTAGTCATAGTATGTGAGAGACACACTTTTATAAAAAAAAAAAATTGTACGCCGGTGTAATTTTGAATTTTGATCCGAGTTGAAAATTGACCCGGGGGTCATTTTTCAACGTTGAATAGTGAGACCAAAGTGTTGAATTTAGACCCTAGTCCGTTGAAAACTGAGCCGGGTCGTGGAATTTTGATCATGAAACCGGTTCTAAATTCAACAGCATAAAAACACATATTTATGACTTGATTTTCATAACTGTGATTTAATCCATAGGCGTCGGGACGGGAGGGGGGCTAGGGATGATTACCGCCCTTTTGTGCAAAGATAGATATAATATAGGCATTGAACAATGTGGAATTGGTTTAGCCCCCCCCCCACTTTAAACAGGCACGTTACAGTGTAGTCAAAGAAAGAAGTAAGTGGTAGTGCTTGAAAAAGAAAAGAAAAGAAAATGGATCCTCCTCCCCTAACCCCTCCCCCCTCTTCTAAATAGGATTTTTGGGTTTGGACAATTAGTTTGGACAATGGACAAATATTCTTTTTCTTTTTCTTGTCAATATTTTTCAGATTTGAATTTTTTTATTTTTCAATTAGACCCCCCCCCCCGCACTTTCAATTTGCTTCCGACACCAATGTAATCAATGCACACTTAATTCAGTAACTCAGTTATATTTTTAGAATAAAATATTAAAAAAAATACCTCAGATTTCAAAGTTACATTTAGCTTAAAATTGCAGTATTTTGTGTAATATTTATTTTAAAAGAAGTACATTTGTATAAGTAAATCCTGAATATTAGTAAACATAGTTACACAATATACAATTTAGTTCAGAAATTTCTTTATTTATATTTTTTTTTGTTGCTAACAACTCATTTATCATAATTTTAAAATTCGTAATATAAGTATTTGGGAAATGGTGAGAGTTTAACGCATGATGCACGTAACATTAGATACACAACCCTGACTTTCAGCGTTATTTAATTTTTGTTAAAAAAAATAGCCAAAATATAACATTGATCCCTCCCCCCAAATCGGGGAAACACAGAATAGTTTGTGAGGAATTTCTGATGCGGCCCTTCCATCCAATTCGAGAAACATGGTTGGTTTTCAACATAGGCTAGTTTCCCTTTCCCCTTTTTGTTTGCTTGTTTGTTTGTTTGTTTCGTTTCGTTTATTTATTCTGTTTATGATTTTTTGTCACAATGTTTCAGAAGGTTTTGATACCATACCCCCGCCTTCAAGAAAAACTTCATGATCCTCTCTCTCTCTGAAGAGGAATGCGCTTTTTAGATGTTTAGATCAAGAAAAGTTGCAGGGACGGCGTTTTTTAATTATTGATATCAAAGATGGTGAGAAGTGTAGCTTCTAATCCATCCCAGACTCTAACTCTACTTCTCATTCTCAAGGTTATACTCCGAAAACGATCAATTTTTAGACCGAGGCAGGCTACTGACAGATAAGTTTTTTTTACAGGGATTTCACCAACCTTGTTTAAAGTCAGCATTACTTACATGTTATGGTCGCTTTATTGATCTTTACACAAATGTAACCTATCATTGGATTCATTTTGACTGATGTGTTTCATTCTAATTTTTAGGCTTTTAATTTTGTTAATTTTTATATTGAATTTGACTAAGTGAGATGTTCTGCCCACCTGATCAATATAATATTATATACATCTGTAGGGCTCACTTTCTAGACACCAGATTTCCAGGATTTTTGTTTTATGCCCTATTCATAGTTTTGTAGTTATTTATGGATGTGGATTTTAAAAAGTATTGTCAAAAAAGTTGTCATGCTTGAAGATAACTGAAATTGTGTACTGATCAAAATGTACATATAAACACGGGATGATAGGTTTATTTCTATTATTCTTGAAAAGGGAAAAAAATTGAAACTGAGATATAAATATAGAGATACAGTCCCGTAAAACAACTTCCCAGTTCAAATAATGTTCAAACTCTGAGTTGGGGTCAATATTCAACAGGGTCAATTTTCAACTTGTATATATCAACTTGTTGAGGTCATCGGGGATAAGAAAAAAAATTTCAAGCTGTTGAAAATGACCCCGAGTATAAATTCAACGACTTTTGGTCTCAATTTTCAACGGAGAAAAAACACCCCTGGTTCAATATTCAACGTTGGAAAATGAACCCAGGCTCAATTTTCAACTGGGGTCAATATTCAACGTTACACCGGTTGGAAAGAAATCGTGAGCTAATGTGTTCATTTCATGGTCTTACATGGCTGTGGATTTTAATTTTGAGTCTGTAAAAATAATGTTCAATAGGCCTATTTCAATTAGAATTATTTTTTGAAAAAATACGCATGAAATTGGTCAATAATTACTACGATTGTAGTTAAAAGACTGATATGGTTATTTCTATATACTTTATCATTTTAAGTGTATATTTATTGTAAACAACAAACAGCTGGTTCTGGGGACGCGACCTCCATATTCATAAGATAAATACATGTATGTAACTGAAATTGCTCTCCCATTTGATCCTGTAATTATCCTAAAACTGGATTATAACTAATAATAATAATTTAAATTTAAATGGGTAATTAATACCACATATCTATGCTGCGATTGTAAATCTGTAAAATTAATTTTAGTGAATCAATATGCATCTATTAGAAAAAAAAATTATAATCCAGGGGCCCGTTTTACAAAAGAACTTACATATAAGACCAAAATTTAATTCTGCGATTTTATTATTCTTGTAAAGAATTTAATATATTTCTATGGCAACACTTTCCAAAACAATAATTTTTTAAAAAAATTATAATCAACATAACTTTTTGGTTTTAGTCGTAAGTTATTTTGTTAAACGGGCCCCAGAGGTTCAGGCAACAATTAGCCTGATTAAAAAAAAAAGCTGGATAAACTTCTTCTTTTAAAACAAAATAAAAACTGTCAATGATAACACAATAGTAAATTGATGAGATTAACCTAAAAACTTAAAAGGGGGGTGTCAAATGATATTTCAGACTGTTTTCATAGACGTTGTAAATTTCTAATAATACAAACACTGAAACATTTTCGCATTTGCAGTGCGACTTCACTTCCCGCCATTTCTTTCACCTGTTACTCCAGGTAAACTGAGGAGTATACTCGCGTAACACGGGTTGATCACCCGTGTCGAAGATAGATTGTTTTATTTACAACTCTAGTGACTCGTGTAACCCGTGTCGCTTAATCGAATATACCCTCAGAGTTGGTTGCTTTTTGTACCGAGGAATAATCACGTGCAATTGTCTTTTCAATGGACATTTTCGGTTGGGTGAACTTCTACAGCTGTCAGCGACTATGGATAAAGAAGTGTGGAAACCATGTTGTGCCAAAATGAAATAACCAATACAAACAAATGATATAATTTGATCAATCAAAATGGTTATTAGATACATTCAATTCTGCATTTCTTAATGGTTCAAAACAACAAAAAGTATCAAACAGAATATCATGTATAAATGTGCACAATATATCGAATGCCAAAACCAGAATACTACTAAATAATATAATTATATTCTTTACATATGAACCACAGTATTTCTGACCCCTTGAAAATAATATAAAAAATCTTGCAAGTAGGTTATCAGCATTGGCTCAGGCTAATTCGAAAGTGAAATTTGGAGTTTGGCAGTAAATTGTAATGAATGAATAAAATTTAGTAGTAAAAGATATTGGAACCTATTTTACTTGTCAGATTTCTTCGAGCTAGTTGATTTTTATTCTAACTGTTCTATCCCCCACCCACTTTAAAAAAAACGATGCTACCTGAATTAATTTTTCTTAATGGTGTTCATCGAAATGCTTGGTTGTGCCCTCAAACTAGAATAGTTTTTCGAGGCCTGGAATTCCTTGACCAATTTTATTTTATTAGCCCAACTATATTTCTGAGAAAGCAAGATGTATGGTATGTAAGTTTCATCTACATATGTTATGTAGTTCATATTGAAAAACCAAAAGGGATAATTGACGATATCCCATTCAGGGTCTAAAATAGCAGTTTAAATTACTTTCCATACATTGTACTTGACATGAAATATCTTTTGCGCATAATGCGCTCTATACTGAAGATCCGTAAATGTTCACCCAACCGAAAATGTCCACTAGCAGTACAGCATGGAGAAACTCTAAACAAACGGACCTGTACAATGGAGTGGGGAAAACTTTGATTTTCATCATTGTTAATCATTTGTATGCAAATATGAGCACGGGATTAGTAGGATAATAATGTACATAATGCATCAATTCTTTATGAGAGCGATTTAAAAAAACTAGCCTTTTTGAAAAACATATGTAGTATTTTATGTAGTAACCCAAAAATGCATTAAATGCAACTCATTGAGCTGATTGGTCTATTTGTGTCCCTCACTGAACAGACGTCACAAAAAATATTTTCCTCGAACCTGATGATTCTCGCGATGCTTTTCCCGCGCACATGCGCAGATCCAGGATAAACGTCAGTCCTTTATAAATATGCATGAGAATATCGTGTTCTTTTCCTGACCAGTACTTTGTTAATACCGAATAAAATTTCGTCAAATTTGCAAGAATGCTTCATTTTTGGTAGCTCATCATATTCCAGAAATTTTTGTTCGGTTTCAGCTGTGCAAAAATACTGTTTAACACGGCATACATATCTTTAATATTACAGTGTGGAGTACAGAAAGAGGTCTATTGGAACGTTAACTGCAACCGCCTATGTATCTTTGTTTCGATTTTTTTTTTCACTTTTGGAATCATGGTTCAAATTCAAATTTCATTTGGTTGTTCAAGATATTATTATTATTCTAATTACATGTGATAACAGAAAAGACAATTTTCTATTTATAAAAATGTTCATGAAAATAGGATGCTTTACTCTAATGACAAAGCCTACCTTTTTCTGATCACGAAACCCAGCATTACTAGCATAACAGCACCCAATGTTGAAAAAATAGTCACTATTATTATTGTTCTGTTTTTAACTGAAATAAACATATTGTGAAGATCATCTTTTATTTGGATTTGTGAAGTTAGTCATGGTGAACAAAAATATCTTCGTTGACTTACCCACCCAATGACGTTCATACTCAAAAGGTGCTGAAAAATAAATTATTTTTAAACTAATTGTAAGAGGAAAACACATTCCTCCTGATTTTAAGATATAATTTTATGAACTGAAAAAATTAAAATTATAAATACCATGTACTTTAATTACATATAAGATTTTAACATAAATGAATTACTGCTGTAAATATTGGTAGTTTACTGAAATATACTGGACAATGTTTCTGTTTCTACCAAATAACGTCATTTTTGAAGTGTATCTTTGTTTAAAAGTCATTCTAATTTATATAATTAAGCATTCCAATGTTTTAAGACATAGTGAGAATTAATCGTTACATGCATAATAATATTTAGTTTTAGATTTAGCTTAAACTAACTGTCAAAATAATTTTTTTTTTCAAAAGGATCTTTAATGCCAAAAATAGGCCCCAGGATCACGAAACAAACTAAGACTTAGAAACAATTCAATCGCCTGTAAAATATTTATTAATCATTGAATTATTCTCTTAATTTGTAGATAACGACACTTCTGTGAAGTAATATTTACAAATATTTTAGTTTTTGTCTGCTTGACCTAATTCAACATTTTAGAAGGATTTAAATATTTTGACTTAAGCTTAAGATGTTTCATGATTCCGGGGCCTTATATCATCTAAAGAATCATTAGATAAAGAAAAAAAAAAAACCTAAGTTCACGTACTATTGCGTACAAGAAAGTTCGCCACTGCAACGCCCTCGCTGTTTTCTACTACACACTGGTAACTTCCTCCATATCCCAATTTTGTTTTGTGTATTTGTAATATCCTACCGTTACCAGACAGCTGAATTACAAAATCTGCGAAATACATAGGAATGTATAGTTTGTATACCAATTTTTCCTCAAATCAGTTCAATTTGAAGGAGTAGCATGTTGTAATTAACGCCAGTATTTACACTGACTGAATTGTCTGACGTACATGTATTTCTTTTTTATACTTTCATTATACGTTTACATGCCCACTGGAATAATTCTCCGAATATTATATCTTTCCAATATGATTATGATTTCATTGAATTCAAACCTTGTTATTTGTTAAACGGATAAGATTTTTTCAATAAAGGTTTGTTGTGTATTGTTTTTTTAAATTAAATAAATTGTTTTAAAGTGGTTATTTTATTTATGAAAAAATGCATAAGGTCTAAGATATCAAATATTTTCAATGTTATGTAAATAAAAATGTATTTATATTGCCGTTACCTTGATAGGAGTTGAGAACGTTGCCGTTTTTCATCCATCTGGTCACTACTGGATATGCTTCCCCTGGCGCAGAAACAGCATCGCATGATAAAATAATTACGTCACTAGAAGAGTTCTCTGCAATCTTAGTCAAGAAACGTCTATTGTTTTCAACAAATTTTGGAGGGGCTTAAGAAAAGAAATAATAGAACTTCATATTTAGTTATTAATTTGAAGTGAAACTTTTAAAAAAATACTTCTTTTTCATTCAAAATGTCTTTCACTCACAAGTTACATTAAGGAATGGATTCTGGGTAATGTTGTCATGGGCTATACATTGATATTGACCCTCGTCGTCAAAGGTAAGGTTCATTATCTGTAGTTGTCTACCATTTTCTTTAATGATATACTTTTGATTACTTTCTATGCTGGAACCATTCTTGTTTTTCCATTTTATAACAGGAACTGGACTGGAAATTCAAATTCGAGTTCAAAAAAGCTTTGTCAGTATTTTGCTCTATATCTTTAAAGTTGAGACTTTAAAAACAGCCCTTTTGATTTAGAATTAGAGGGAACGCTCACCTTCCAGAGAAAATACACTTCAGTATTCCGAGTTTACCAGCAAATGCCTTATATTTACTTTGATATACTGCATGAACAGGAATGGTTTCAGTCCTGGAATCTGGTAAGAAATTAAATGTGATTTGTTAAATCTTGTATGTTACATAGTACCTTGCAGCATGAATATAACCGGTAAGCAAACTACCCACTCCAAAAGTTACATTTCAGTAGTTTCTAGGTAGCAGATCCTTTCTTAAATCCTCATTATTTTTTTTTTCTTTTAGTGCCAGAACAAGGAAAATCAACAATAAATGAATCATAACTTGTAATTTTCTTTTCACAATCCAAGGCATTCAAGTATGGATAAAACAAGTATATTCAATATATAATTTTAAGGGTGAAGTTTCAAAAATAATGGGATCTGTTTGTTTTATCACAAGTCGTAAGGTAATTAAAAGAAATTTGCTTTATTGATAAATAAATTGATGTCTATTCACTCCTATTCAATTTACCATATACTTGGAGGTTTATTGACTCCCCAGTAACAAGCGTCTTTTTGCGTTCGTTCCAAATTCCACAGGCATATGTTTTGCCGCCATCAGATTTACTTATGCTTAGGAAATGAAGATTCCCTGTAATAATGACATTAAACATGAAATTGTGTTTTGATTTATTTTTCTAGCAATTCTTTAATTTAATTACAACCCTTTAAAATTCAATGAAATTTAATATGACGTTTTTGTGAAGCATCTATTACTGTTCTAGTTTGTCGATTTAAATCTTGAATTTATGAGGTGGAACTTGGTTGGAAATCCAAAATTTTCAACAAAATACATTGTTTTATATCTTTAAAGATTTGTTCCTATACAAATCTATACGAAAAAATCTAACATTGCAAATGTTTTGCTGAGCGGGCATAAAAAAATCGATGTTTGACCGCTGAGTGAGATGTTGGACCGCTTACGTCTCAGAATGGGCGAAGCTTCTACTCATCTGTTCAACAATGACGGACTTGAGGTTACATTACGGGAGACAGCACAAATTAAAATATATGTGTGTAAAAAAAAATTAAAATGAAAGATATAACAAAACATTTATTGACTAAAATTAAAATGAAAGATATAACAAAACATTTATTGACTATGTTTTCGGGCAAAATGCGTTTTGTAGACACTTGAACCAAACTGTCTGCCTTCGGCCTAACGAGTTCAGGCAGACAGTTTCGTTCTTGGGTCCGACAAAACGCATGTTGCCCTCGAACTCAGTAAATAAATGTATTTGTTATACCCTTATTAATAGCTTTCTATATTTGCGGCCTCGGGCAACATTTTCACCTTCAGGTCCAACAAATCATAAGTTGCTCTCATTCCCAGTCAATAACTGTATAGTAGTTATCCTCCGCCTGGTCACTTCCTTAACATGTATAAATAGCTTCTTTTCTTACACAATTTTACACAATGTAATAGCATGTTCTTAATATTTTACCTTCACTGTCCACTGCTGTTTCATTTCCTATGGATACAGTATTCGATGTCCCTATGCCATATTTCCATTCTATATCACACGATTCTCTCGGCTCACATCTAGGTTTATCCATACAATTCAGCTGACAATGATGATGTTCCTCACAAGTTTGTGTCAGCGTCTTCGTAGGAAATTTATCAAGAACTACAAAATATATTTTATGAGTAAAATTGAAAAGCTAATTTTGCGATGTAAATCCAAGAGCACCAAAATATATTTGCCATCGAAAATCAAAAGAACATTTGCAATATTCACATCACGTCCATCTTGATATATGTGATGCTCTAAAATCACTTATTTTTTTATGTTAAATAAAAATTTCGTTGTTTGAGAAATACTATTAAAATTGGTTCATAGAAATTTCAGGATCTCCTCATACAATGAATCAGCTAAAACGAACCCTCCACTGAAAAATGTGAATAATGTGAAATACTGTAAATCACTTTTTATTCGCGAGAACTTTATTTTCGCGTAATTAAGCGAGACAGTGTTCTCGCGAAAATTTAATTCTCATGTATAAGTATTCCTTAGGATTATATAGAGCAATAACCACAATTCGTGAAAAATTTGTCTCGCTAATCAAGGGTCACTGACTATCTTGCTAAAATAAAGTGTCGTGAAAATTAAGTGATCTACAGTACACCCTTTAAGCTTTCTACTGAATTAACGTAGATTATATATATTGAACATTTTAAATCTGTTTGAGCACTACTATAAGAATACTTATATAATGCAACTTTTGTACTCACTTGCTTCAGAGATTTTAACAAACAAGGATACCGAAGTTCCATATTTATTTTCTGCCAAACAATAGTATTCTCCAAAATCACTCTGTGCGAGATTTTGGAAGAAGATTGCTCCAGTTTTCTTGTTCACTACAATACGCCCATTGTTGTTGAATTTCATGTAATTTTTAAACCAACTATACCTGAAAAAAAATATGTCAAAACCGATATGCAGTAAGCATATTGTATATTGTTTCCTTTGTTAAATTAGATTTCAATCTACATTGTGTTGTAAATAATTTTCACTGTCACTTACAGTGTAATGCTGAAAGGTACAATTAAACGTACTCACGTGATTTCACCGTTGTGAGCACTACATAGTAGAGTCAAAGGAGAAGAATGAAAACGAGGCAAGAAATACTCTTGTTTAAACTCTGACTTTATCACGGGGGGAAGGTTGGATGGACATACTCCTATTGGTCAGTATCAAAACTAATTACGGACTTATCTAATTAACTTATCAGATATAGGAATTTAATATATAATCAATTAATTGTAATTTAAGAACATTATAAAAATTAAATTTATAGAATTATTCATGAATACAGTACTTTTTAATTTAAATACATTACCATGAATATAAAGAAGAACGCTGCCAAGAACGAAAATTTTCATGGCGCTTTATTCCTGTTAACACATATATTCAACAGATTTTTTTATTGGTATTGACTTTATTTGGCAAACATATACATAAAACAGAACGATATCCATGTCTTTATGGGAAAAGCGATGTATCATCGTTTAGACTGTTTCCTCAATCGAATATATTTTGATCCACAGTCTCTATTTAAAGCTAATATTTCAGGAAATTTGCTTTCCCCATTGCAGTGTCTATTAATTAACTAAATATGAGCAACATTCTGATTCAAATGTAGGTTTCTTGAATATTTATGCACTCATGACAAAGAAGATGGGTGAACAAGGCATGCAAAGTGGCTATAGTGCAAATAACATGAATTGAAAGATAAAATCTTAATTATATTAAAATTTTCTTTATTATTTAATCTAGCTTTAAGCAAAATCTCTACAATTTACAAAAAAAATGCAAAGAATAAAATTATTTGCCTATGAAAAAGCATACACACAATATCTAGGGAAAAAGATCATTTTCTCATATTTTCACAAAATTTTTCGATATGAGTGGGCCTTCGCTCCATTTCATTGAAAGATAATCCTAAAAGCTTGCAATAAAATATAATTTTAAGTTTTCAGAAACATAAAGTAAAGACCCACTATATCTTAAAAGTACACCTTTATGACAAAACATTCGCATCTTTCCAAGAAATAATTCCCCAGTTTTCTAAAACATATCGAGAAATATATGGAGGCAATGAACAATATTTCAAGCTTAAATGTCCTTTAAGTAATACATTTTTTTAAGCAAACAGGGGTCTTAAAACAGCAGCGGTGGGATCAGGTGCCATGGAGGAGTGGGTATCACCTTATAACCATTCACATGTGCTTCTTGTCACGATCGGGAAATAACGTACATTTACTCTAATTTATGTTTATGCAGATTATCGTGTATGTTAAAATGCAAAATTCTCATCTATAAATCCCTACAATTTATTTTTATGATGACTTGATGCATTTAGGTCTAAATCGAAAACAAGATTCTTGCAAATGAATGGATTTTTTTCAACATCGACCTTTTACATAATCAACAATTATTGTGCAAAGTATAACTTCCCATAATTCTGTTAAACATTGTATGACCCTGCAACTCATATTCTGCATAAGATATTCTGGATAATCATTTTCCAAAAACAGATAGAAATAAAGACTGATTCTCCATATGGAATACATCAATCACTATCAATCATTTGATTATTATCTCGTCCTTTACATGTACTACTGTATATTCCACTGACATTTTCTGAATGATCATAAAGGTTAGATTCAGCATAGTCCAACGGCGGAGTGCTACACACTCCCAAAATATTGTAGTTATTTTCCGTGCAAAAGTCTACGTCCTGAATTTGTGTCACAGTTTCCACACTATCAATATCTGTCCGTTCAGTTTGAATTTCAACATATGAATATTCAGGTTCCTTAGTAATAGGACCAGTAGAGTCGTGTTGTGAGTGTTGTAAGATTACATGGATACCCACTTCCGCCCCAGCCCGGGGTTGAACTCTCCGAAGGTCGAGAGTTCAACCCCGGGCTGGGGCGGAAGTGGGTATCCATGTAAAAGTGAATTTCTTTGTGCTTTCTATATTAATATTTCTTCACTTAGGGCAGTTATGTTAGTTTAAGAGTTGTTGTAAAATGTGCTTTATAAATAATAATTAATTTCATTACAACATGTATTGGTAACAATCCTCTGTTAAAACTAATGTCAAAATAACTGTATCTCACTTCTGTTCTCAATGACCGTTTAGTGTAGGGCAGCGCCGCGAGAATTCCATCGGCATCGAAAGCAAGTTTTTAGACTTGCCTAGATAGCCGAGCGGTCTAGCGCGCTGTTCCTGCACTGCTAGGAGACAGATTCCGAAGGTCGAGAGTTCAACCCCGGGCTGGGGCGGAAGTGGGTATCCATGTAAAAGTGAATTTCTTTGTGCTTTCTATATTAATATTTCTTCACTTAGGGCAGTTATGTTAGTTTAAGAGTTGTTGTAAAATGTGCTTCATATATATATATATATATATATATATATATATATATATATATATAAAGCACTAAAAAACCAACAACATTGTATATCCTAAATGTCGGATCTACCAAGTAGATACAAGGTCACGGATGGAAATTTATATAAAGCACTAAAAATGACCAACGACACGAACAATAAAAATTGTCAAATTTAAGGACGCCCTGTCCCTTCCTCAGGACAAAGAAAAAAGTTAAAAAGTCATAAGAACAAAGGAAAAAGAGAAACAAAAACAACTAGCACTACTACTTAACTACTAAACACTAGATATTTACATACTTAATTACATGTTGAATTGGAAATTCTTAAGAACACTAATAAAGAAAGAAATCCGGACCGCTATGAAATGCGTCCGGTCTATCGGGTGTACTCGGGTGAAGTGCGATTTACATAATTGAACGAATTAATAATGCTAATTAATTACGACAATCATTAAATCGTAATGGGTTGTCCAGTCTGGTTCTTACCACCATGTCCTTTAGGTTCCGTGGGCGTCTGTATGGAACCAATTGCCACCAGAATTCGACGCATCTGTTCATCCCCTGCCTTATATCAGGAGCAAAGTGGTCTTCTTAAGTCCCACTGATGCAAAAGAGGCTACAATGCTCGCACCGTAAAAACAGCTATTGATGAGATGGCGGAACATGACAGGCAAAACCTGTTACGCTACAAGGAAAAAGACAATAGCGACAGGGTCCCTCTGGTAACCACATACCATCCCGTCCTTAAGAACCTTAGCGGTATCCTTCAAAAGAACCTACCAGTTCTCCATTCAAACAAACGAATGGCAGAGGTCTTTAAGGAACCCCCATTGGCTGCATACAGACGCCCAAGGAACCTAAAGGACATGGTAGTAAGAACCAGACTGGACAACCCATTACCTAACGGGGGCTTTAAAACTTGCTCTGACAGAAGATGTCTTCTTAGTAAGCACAGCACTGACACAGACAGTTTTAACAGCCCTGTTACAGGCCGCAGCTACAAAATACTGGGGAATTTGTCCTGTCATCACTGACAACTGCATTTATCTCATCAGTTGCAAAGTTTGCTCCAAACAGTATATTGGTGAAACAGGAGATCTCCGCAGGAGAGTCAATAACCACCGTTCGACCTTTAGGACCAAAAAACTCAATGAACACGTTGGGGAACATTTCAACCTTGAGGGTCACAAATGGGAGGACATGACAGTAGTGGTGATTGACCATAACCCAAGATGGACAGATGCTCAGAGGAAAAGCAAAGAAAAGTTCTGGATGCACAGATTGAAGTAATTTCGCCCTAATGGTATTAACAAACTGAATAACTTCACCAGAATGAACGTAAACTAGACCCAATTCCTGATCATACTAAACAAGATTATTCTCTCAATTTAGTGTAACCTCTACAGTTAATTTGCGTCACCAACTCTCGAACAACCCACATAACTATGTATTGCTTACGCCTTTGTTAATTATTTTTTCAAGATAATAAGTCCTTAAATATTTCAAAATTTATAATTGATCATAATTCATATGTTTAAATATCCCTGCTATATGATTTTTCTTTGATTATTCTTTATTAAGTAAAGTTACGCCATTTTGAGAGAATGAAACAATGTACGATTTACTGATTGTCGTAATTAATTAGCATAATTAATTCGTTCAATTATGTAAATCGCACTTCACCCGAGTACACCCGATAGACCGGACGCATTTCATAGCGGTCCGGAATTCTTTCTTTATTAGTGTTCTTAAAAATTTTCAATTCAACATGTAATTAAGTATGTAAATATCTAGTAGTTTAGTAGTAGTGCTAGTTGTTTTTGTTTCTCTTTTTCCTTTGTTCTTATGACTTTTTAACTTCTTTCTTTGTCCTGAGGAAGGGACAGGGCGTCCCGAAAATTTGACAATTTTTATTGTTCGTGTCGTTGGTCATTTTTAGTGCTTGTATATATATATATATATATATATATATATATATATATATATATATATATATATATATATATATATATATATATATATATATATATATATATATATATATATATTGTATATAGCGATCAATTCCATCATTATTATAAGGATAAAAACGTGCTTTGTCTGTCCACATTTGACTATTGTTTACTGCATTCTCGTGAACAATCATTCAATACGATTGGTCAGTATTGTAAGTGGTATATTGCTGGGTTCTGTGTTTCATAAGCAAAGTAGTATTGCTTTCATTGAAATCAAACTTCCAATCGATGAGTAATATGGTAATCAACATGTGAAACTTTACCACGCTCGGTTAAGCAAAGTGACACGCTGTTAATGGAATGTTTGTAAATGAAATGTTAGTGAAACTACACGTATTTGCCATTCAGCACCATTTAATCACTTGAAACCGTTCTTTTACTAATAGTTCATATTTTCCCTATGATGTTGCATCAACTTTTAATTTTGATCTAAATCCAGTAACTGAGAAAAAATATTACCCAAATAAAAAAAAATAATACCATGTTAACAAATTATCACATTTTCACTATCTCTGTAGATGTACATGTATACATCTATCGTGGATTTGAGACATAGAAGTTCATGGTAAGGAATTACAAAATCAGAAAAGACACTTTTCGTTGAAAAAAATTATGCTTTATATGCTCATGCGCATTTATTATTTACTAGTTACAAAACGGTCGAAAGTTTAAAAGCGAGGACGGTGTAGCGATAATTTTTTTTTCCAAATAATCATTTACGAGGGGTGATTAAAAAGTTCGAGAACTAATTGAATAACTTCCATAAAAGAAATAATATTTGGTTTCAGTGTTGATTTTATTTTAAATTAGGCCTCTCCAATTTTAATGCACATCTGTCACCGTTCTGCTCATGCGCGAATCACGTGATATAGGATGTCACGTGACCCCCTCCGTAGCGTTCTGTCACAAAAAGCTGAGAGATTTTTCTGAGTTTTATATTTCTTCCCATGTAAGTAAATTTCTGTCTCAAGGACGGTTCATTTGTCAGAAATAGTCAAATTTCGGCAACAGAATGGGTGGATAATAATATCCTTTCCAAAAATAAGCATAGGCGACCATCAAAATCCAAATCTTCGGTCTCGGGAGAGGCGTTTATTTAAGGTGGATAGAGAATGAGTGCCTCCTTTTATAATTATCTAATATGTTTAAAATCTAAAGTAAACGATATCTTAGGTATTTAATAATTATATTATTGTTGAAATATTCGACTATTTTTTAAAGTGTAAATTGGAAGTCGTTGATAGCAAACTGCTTAATTAAAAACAGATCTCTTTTCAAACTTGCTTTCACTGAGCAACATAACAAGTATCATTATTAACCATCTGCCTTCCTTCACTAAAACGATCAATCCAATCATTGATTGAATTTACAGGTCTTTATAAACTGTGTACAAATTATTATACGCTACTTCAAATGGATTTTTAAGATATGCCATAAATTTTACAGTCATTTGTTGAACGAGTTCGACTGACACAACCATTTTTCGTCACAAGTGACCTACATAGTGACGTCATTTTCACATTGTGACGTCACAAACAAGAAGCAAAACTTAATTCAGCACGTGCTATTTATAGAACTTGTGTATGGCTATGTGTGTACTAATTATTTTTCTAATCTGAATTGGGGTTTTGTAGATATAGAGATAGTTCGCGAACTTTTTGATCACTCCTCGTAGTATCGTCATTTAGGGATTTATTAATCCCCTGCCGGTGAAACTGTATGTCCCTCTGTCTGTCAGTCTGAAATATTACCATAAGGGAGTAAAAAATTTGCTACTGCAATTCCTTCACTATTTTCTATCACACATGTGTAACAACCACTGTCGTCTGAATTCTCGTTGTAAATATGAAGAGTCTTTTTGTCCCCTGAAAGCTGGTATCTAACATCTGTTAAAAAAGATATATAAAATAAAACAATGCACTGCTAGTAATAGCGTATAATTATTATATATATATTTTTAAATAGAATCACAATTTGTTTCTCAATTGCCTGATGTGATTAAATATGCTGACCTTTTATAAACAATTTGAAAATATTAAATAGAAGGGAATGTATAAGTAATATCGGAATTCATTAATATTAAACAGAGGACCAATAATCGATTCTGATTTTATTATCATTTAAATACACAATAATGTAAGAACAATTGCGTTTACGCTAGAAAACACTACTCGTGATGCATTTCTAATAAAACAAAAACCTTCATTCAAGATCTCTCCATTTTCCATCCATTTGATTACAATGGGATCGATTTCGTTTCTTACGGACATTGCGTTGCATTGGATAGCAGTGGATTCTTTTGTCAAATTCTGAAGTATTTTTGTCATGAAACGCTTTCCGACATCAGGAAAAAGTGGAGGGGCTAATAGCAAAATTGGGGGGAAAAATTAGTTGTTTTCATGAAAAATGCATTATGGATACAAAAATATCTAATAGCGAAAATTTAAAACCTACAAAGAAGCAACTTGTACGTACATGTAACATTAAGGAATGGACTCTGAATTAGATTTCTGTTGACTTTACATTCATAGACACCCTCGTCAGCTAAAGTTACGTTTATGATGTGTAGCTGACGTCCATACTGACCGACGATGTATTTGTGGTTTGTTGATATATACGTTCCATTTTTGTTCTGCCATTCTATTTTTGGAACAGGGCTATTTACAGCAACAATAAATACTTTATATGCATGAAAAACAAACATTTTTTTAGTTGTCTGAAGTGTCATATATAATTTTATATTCATCGAGCAAAATTTGGGGAAAGCAAAAGTGGAAAATTATTAAGGAAACATGCTTACTTTCCAGAAAAAATACAGAGAAGGGTAGCATTTTCTCCAACGAAAGCTTTGTCGCCACTTTTATAAACTGCCTCTGGGGAGATGTCTTCAGAAGACTCTACAAAAGTTACGTAAGGTACATAGTGGTATATAAATAGATACAAAAATTTTTCTTAACAGATTTGAATCTAAACATTATTATTGAATACAAATGATAATTTTCTATTGTTCACATTTATTATACGTACAATGTCCCTAGTCATTTTAAGAAAAGTAAGATCAAATATAAAGAAAGGAAGAAATAAGAAAAAAGATCTTGACACTTTGTCATGATGAATTTAAACAAAAATGAAACAAGAAGTAGATAGATTACACGATTAATTTTGCACTGGTTTTAGCTGACGAAGCGCTTAACAATTGTAATTTTCATTATTTTAAAATTTTTTGGATGAGAGGAGCTAGGATCTGAAGGTGGTAATCCAACTCCAAATCAAATTATTTCTTTTAATGTAGACTTAGATAGAAGCCTGGGAGGTCACGTGCTGGCGAACATAACGAAGTTTTATTCTACATTGTTGCATCTCAGCCAATCAGAAAGATAGGAATTATTCAATCATATAATATAATTCACTTACCATTTATCTGGAGATATGCATTGCTGATTATTTTTAACACATTGATTCTTCCAAATTCCACAAGTGTAATTTTTATACCCGTCAGATTTCCCTATGTTCAGAAAATGAAGATTTCCTAAAT